GCAGGAATCAGGCCAAGATTTACAAAGGTGTTTTCCAGTCAACTTCCAACAGATCTCACAGGGTGTTTTGGTGCCTCGATAGGAGTCAGGAGCCTACACAGACACGTAGATCTTGGCTGCTAGCATTTAATCTCCTCTAGGTACACCTGAAATCCCACCGGGTAGGTACAAAATGCTTTTTGAAATTTAGCATTCACTTTTGAATGTTCCATCAGCACACAAATTCTGTTTCAATTAAATTAACATAAATCCAGAATAATTCCACTGATTTGAATCAAGTTATTGCAAATTCCAACAACACAGAGAGCAGTAAGCGTTGTACAGACGTTGCAAATTTTTTCTGTTTCTTTTACATTTTATTATTTATTCCAAGTGCTTTACTGCACCTGCCTGTCCTCCCACCTTGATATTACATACTACCACTCACGCAGAAACAGCCTGAACTTGCTAAAGTTTAGAACAAACCAGCAGCAGCAGAGAAATTAGGCTGGTGATAAAAAGCAGCACAAGAGAAAATTAACAGAATAATCTGTTCCTAGGCTGTTTCTGGCAAGACACAGTGCTGGTGCGGTAAAAAGCCTAGATGAACCTCCATGCAACAGGGAGAGGAAGCAACAAAAAAAGATGGTAGCAGCCACTTTGTGTGGGACACCTGCTTCCTCCATCATGCACCATGAGCATATGCAACATACGTTGCTCCCTTGCTGTCACGCTTTGCTGCGAGGAAAGGTCTTGTTACAAGAATTCAGTAAATAGAGCAGCTTTTCAGGAACAGCAAAACACGAGGGCTGGCCCCTGCCCTGAGGGGACTTGTCAGACCACCGAGGATGGCTTGCAGCTCTGCTTGCAACCTGACACTGGGAAAAAGCTTCAGGGGAGTTTATTCACGTGAATTTGACGGCATGGTGGTGAAATATGGAACCAGGCCCAGCGCAAGGAGGAAAAAAACCTACCTAGGAAAAATAAACAACAGTCTAAAGCTACACTGCTGGATTCAGGTGGGGTCTGCAATGCTGACATAGCGGGGAAGCTCTGAATTTAAATCCTAAAGCTGTGTAATTCCCTGCAAAAGTGGAAGGAAGAAACTCTGGGCTACAGAAGCAACAAAGGAAAGGAAGAATGGAACACAGGGAGCAGAAGACAGTCCAGTATGTCCTTCACCTCCCATCCCCTGGGGGCTGGGATGAAAACTGCTATAGGTTGATTCAATAAATCAGGGTTACTATTTAACACACAGTTTCCAACAAGTCATTCCCCAAATTCAGATGCAAGTGACTCATCACTGCTCAGCCTTCAGAAACCCTGTACCTTGAGCCCGAGAGTACCATCAGCAATGGTGAAAAGGTTACACATAAAATCAATTATTGAAGCCAATGACGGTTCTGCTTCAGGTAAACAAATACACGCTGCAGTGCACGAATCAGGAACTGGAAGGGAATGCAGCTAACTTATTGCCGGCTAAGTATTTGCTGTCTTGCAGTCCCTACCTGCAGGGAGACCCTCTGAGACAGGGAGTCTGGTCCCTTCTGGCTGTGTCCACCTTCCCAGACAGCAAACAAGGAAGTCATGTATCAAATGATGCAAAACGATGGGCTAAAATGTATTAAGGACCAACTCCCAAGCTGCTTGTTTGCCCAACAGGACAAAAACCTGCCTGCAACAAATCACAGCGAGCGTACACAGATGCTGTGCCATGGGGCTCTCGCTGCTCACAGGCCTTCAGTAGCTTCCTGGTCGTTACTACGCATCACATGTCCCATATAATACAGGACCTCCCACAATTAGTATCCAGGTTGGTGAGCAAGGGACTGGAAAAACAGATGTTTTCCTCATCTCTGTCAATCAGGAACTAGCTGGGCCACATTAAATAGCAATCATCAACCTTTCAGAATAAGCACTTTGTGATGATTGATAGCCCAGCGCTGCTGTGGTTTGCGCTGGGTGAGAATCCAAACCAAACTCTCAACGGGAATGGGACACGGCAAAGGTTTCCCCAACAGAAACCTGGCCGTGAACAGGAGAAAGGTTTCCTCCAGGGAAAATACATGTTGGCAACAGCTGTCATCTCAAGGGTCAGTAAGAGTGTATCAATATAAAAAGGAGAACAATTTTGCATTTTCTTTCCCACCTTGCAATTCCCAGGAAAACCACCACTAACCTCACAAAACAGCATTTCCTCTGGGACAAAGAGGATAAAAGAAATCAATCCAACATTAACAGTTATCCATATATATTTTCCATAGATGGGAGAAGTCAAACATGTCCTAAAACTGTTAATCACTGTGGAAACTAGAAGAGCCTGCAATACCTATGAGCTTTTACTACTCCCAAGCTCCTTCAGTTGGCTTGGATATTAGCAAGTTTCCATGCTTTATCCTGTGAAGCAGCAAGAATCTCACCACCCTTACAAAAATCACACTTTCAGAATCGAGGGGCCACAGGTATCTGCTTTCACCGCGCTCATCAACGGCAAATGCACTTAGTTGAAAATCTGTTTGCCACTATTTGCATTCATAAACTCTTGAACTTTGCTTATGTCTTCCTGGAAATCAGTAGTTTTTAATCAAGAAACAAAATCTTTGATCCTTATTTTCTCGATCCTGTAGAAAAATTCACACGCTCTATTTTTGCTAGAACTGTGGCATTACGGAAGGGAAGGGAGAGAGATTTTGCATGAGGCAGCTTAGACATACAACGGCACTCAAGTCATGATGAATTCAGACATCACACCAGTTTCAGATGAGACGCTCCTGCCAGTCTTTCTATGTATAGCACCTTCAGCCTGTACCTGGTGCTGGAACGTGTCTGCACTTGTTCCTAAAATTGCAGCTTATTCTGCCCTCAGCCTGTAAGCAGTGCACTTAGTGTATCACACGCAGCAACTGCATCTCTTTTTTATTTAACTGCCTTCGAGGAGATTAAAAAAACGTCTAGAGAAGATGTAAACAAAACTTGTAAGTGAGCCAAATCACTTTTTTTTCTCTCCTTTTCATCAGAACATGGGGAATTCTCTTGCTTACCTGGTAGAGTAAGAGTTGATTTCTGGGTTGGTTTTTTGCCACACTTGATTCTATATTCATTTATGGAATTTTCTATCTCTTGCAGCTTTTTTACAGCATCAGCATACTCTTGCTTTCTTTTCTTCTTTACGTTTTTGCAGAGGTCTGGCTCACTGGCAAGTTTCTTTGCAGCTTCCACCAGCTTTTGCTGTATGATAAAATTGCTCTCCAAGTCCTGCAAAGTGGGATCCTGCAAATTTGTGAGATGAGTTATTTGCTTGTACTCTGGGCAGAAATTATCAACGAAAGTTATGGAATAGAAGATCTATTTTTGCAGTAATGAAGTGAAATCTTGAGCACAACGCACAGAAATACCTGAAGTTTGTACACAAGACAATCTCAGCATATTAAACTCTTAGGTCTTATTTCTATGACTAGTGTAAGATTACGAGATCTCTTGAGAAAGGTCCAAAGTTCTTCAGCCTAGGTGATATAAGATAGACACCTGAATTCAGGTTTAAACTGCTAAACCTCCTGCTCTGAGTCCAAGTCTGAAAATGTCTGTTCAAAATCTCTCTCTACTTGTTAGAAAATAAAAATGGAAATTGATATCACCATACCAGCATAACAGGGAGCTGGATGCTTTAATTAATTGTTTGTAAACAACTTTGAGAAGCTCAGATGACAAGCACTGCAGAAGTGCTAAACAACATGTTATTAAATCTGGTCAGCAGGATTTTTTTTCAATAGCATTTAAGCAGTCTACGTAAAATCACTTTGCTGCAGACATGGATTACGCCAGTCCTGTGAGCCAGGGCAGCGAGTTTTTGGTGAAAGACAGATGCCAAGTGCCCAACAGCTACTTACTAGTTGGATGAAACAGCTTGTTAACAAATCTCACAAGGAATGAGGGGGAATGGTATGTGTGCAGAAACTGCGAATAGCTGGACTACCGTATCTCCTGAGTCTGCTCTGCCAGCAAAGTTCATACTAGCTTCTTGAGCAATATAGAGAGCTTTTACTTAGGTGGAACTTGCATTAAGCAGAGATAAATCTCCTCCTTCTGTCACCTGTCACACAACTATGCTTCACGGACAGATGATTTTGCAAGGGGGACAGCTCACGCCCCTGCCACGTTCTGGGTTCAAACGCAATCTCAACGTGACACAAATTAGTGCTGGAGAAAAGCTCGTAGGCATGGGTTGCCAAACGCATTATGCACCTGCTCTTCTCTAACTAGCAGTAAAACGCCCATTAAAATTCAAGCAGTGTGGCCAAATCAGGTTCAGGTCAGGGAATTTTAATGCCTTTTGAAACAGCCAACTTCCTGCTCATTTCAAAGGCGGCATGGCTGAAATAAGGGCAGTACCCGTCTCGATTTCCCAGCCTATGCAAGCAACTGTCCCAGCTGCCTTCTCTTAAACAATCAGGGAAGAGCTGGATTATTTACAAGTGGCTTTGGCCACTGGTCTGGCCACCCCACCTCTGCTGGGAAAACAAACTGCAGCACTCACCTCTTCACTCGGAAGCAGATTGTCATCCAGCTTGAATGCTGTGCCAACACGTCTTCTGACCTGGGGAGGTTCCTCTCCAGCGCTCAGAGGATACTCCTTGGGCATCTTGCCTGTCAGCTCCTGGGGAACAGAACAGGCTCCACGTGAAGGTCTGGAGGGAAAGAAGGGCTCTCACCCACCCTGACCCCAGTGTAAGGTGCAGTTCTCACCGCCTCTCGCAGGCAGATTTTCTTCAGCTCCTCAACTTTCTGAAGCAGCTTTTCTTGAAGGACTTTCTCTTTCTTCTTTAGTTCCATGATTTTCTCCTTCTTTTGTTCTTCACTGACCTCTGAATCCTGAGACCCTGAAAAATACACTCTCTGTATCAAAGGATTTGAAGTAAAAGCCATTTTTTTTCTGGTCAGGTACCCAAAGCAGTCCAGCCTGGCAAAATGGCACATTATTTGGAGTGCAACATCCAGCTCTCGTGTCATCCAGCACGCAGGCTTTTAGCAAATCCACACTTTTTCAAACCCCCAATGTATATACTTGCATGATTAAGTCCCAAGTATACATCCCAAAAACCCACCACCCAGAATATAAATCAATGCTTTAGGGATATCTACTTGATATTTTAGCTTTGACTCTGCATTCAAGACTGAGGCTCCTCACTTGGGCTTCACCTCAAGGCATCTACGTGTGGCAGCCAAGCTTTTGCCTCCCCTTTTTTCCCCTCCCCCAAAGTCAAAGGAAAGATCTCAACTCCACTCCAGAACTAAGCTTTATTTGGAAGAATTTATCTTCTCTGCTCATTTTTGAAGGAGCACAAGGAAATTCAATTCTTAGTAGAGGTGCTTAAAGTTAGCCTGGATCAAATTTCCCTCGGACTTCGATGAGACTGATATAAAATTATTCATGGACCAACAGTATATGGGTGCTTATCCATCTAGCCTCTTTTTATTTCCTTGTTTAGTTAGGGTTAGGGGAACAGGAGATTACACCTTTGATGTTACTGTTTCAGATACATAACTAATACATGCATTCACATATGTCTACTTATGGTCAGCTAGCCTCATTTTCCTTTTTAATGTACACAAATCCCACTGTACCTCACTCTCTTGCATTTACGTGAACTATTACCTGATGAGATCAAACTGCCATTGCTAGCCATAATAAGCTGGTTCTTTGCCTCCAAAGTCACTAGCTTTGAAACTTTTGGTGTCCCCATCTCTGTCAGATCCATGGCGATATCATCCAAACTTCTGGCTGAAGGAATTTTTGCCTGAAGGAGTTAAAAAAAAAAAATCCAGCCTCATCAAGTTACCTCTAATTAACTTCAGAACACGAGGTCACAGAAGATGACATTTCACACCTCAACTCCCACAAAATTAAGGGCTAAAGCAACAGCATCATGCAGGAGCTTGTAGTGCATCGGGCTGCGCTGGCGTTCCCCTCCCCTTCTGTCCCCAGAGCCTGAACCATCTCCCAAGTTAAAGCCTCTTTGCTGTTTGCACCGTTTTCAAAACGAAGACAAGAAAGAGACAAAAGAAAAAGCCGATTAAACACTGAGAAGTGGGAATTCCCTCTTCTGTGATTACACTTCCATAGCCCTTAACTGCAGGCAGGCTAAAATGGATCGAATAACAATAATGTCACTAATAGACTGCTCAAAAAGCTGACAAAAACTATTTGTAGTTTTTCTCTGGAGAGTAGTTCATCTGTGGAAAAAGATATACCGAAGGATATACAGGATAGGTGTTGAAACTTATGCCCACAGTAAAATGTCTTAAAACTTACTTTGCTTTGTTTTCTGTCCAAGTAAAACTGGTGTTGACTGATTGCCATCACCCAGATGGATTTGATCAGGGAAGTGTTTGCATACCAGGTTTGCACTACCAGTCCACTCTGACCAAAGGTCCTTCTTGACACTGAAATTCTGAGGAGGTGAAAAGAAATGCAATTTCAAGACAGGTCTTTGAGGTTTAAAGTCCCAAATGCCTGCCTCTCAACCAGGCAAGGCTCAGCCTTTATTTTAGAGAGGTGAAAACTCAGTTTTCCTTCTCCCACCACCCAGTGCTGCTACCTTTCCTCCCCCTTCCCTTCATCTTACAAAGTTAAAGTTACAGCCCCTCCTGGTTAAGCTTTACAATATGGAGCGGCAGCAACTGTGGTGCCTTAGTTCAGCAACGCAATTGTGCTGCTGAGACCAACGGCTGGATACGCCATAAGCCTAGGAAGGGTGAGCAGACTGCCATGGGATCCTGAAAGGCACGCTCAGGCAGGACGGGGGAACTGAGGGGATCAGCAGAGCATCTCACTGCTCCGCCTGGCCCAGGTGAGAGGCACGGCGGTCCTGTGCCAGAGGTAGAAAGGATGGCAGCAGGAGAAGCAGAAAGGAAGGCAGAGTCAGAAATTCTCCCTGGGCAAAGGCTCTTTCTTCTTGGGAGGTTTCTTGAGGGGAAGGCACAGCGAAGCAGCCTGCAGGTGAGCTCCCATCCCAACTGGCAGTGCTCCTTTGAGACCCTGAAGGCTCAAGCTCAGAGAAGGAAGCATCGCTGCCAAGGCAGGGGAGGGCAGAAGGTGAGCAAGAAAGTCATGTCCAGGTCCTGCTGGCTGTGTTCCCAGGTCTCCTGCTGCACAGGCACATTACAGTGGCCTCTTGGGGAAGTGTTTTGTAAAGGGAGCAAATTTGGCCATGACAAATAGTCCTCCCTCTGCTCCACGACTCCCTTGGTGGACACCATAGGCAATCTGAGAGAAGGACAGCCAGAGCTGTAACACATCAGCAAGTTGCTCCAGGTTGTTCACTACGGCTGTGACCTTCCCTCTGCAACATCACAGCACTACTTGTCCATCACCTGCAGACCAGATCCAGCCCTAGTCTGTCCTGCCAAATGCAGGATTAGGCTCAGTATTGCGAAGCCCAGAGTAAACTTGGGTCTGTGCTGAACTCGGAGGCACCTCCCATCTCCATCAGCTAACACGAGATGACAAATCCACAGTCAAGGTTCCTCCTGCTGCTACAACTGCCTCCTCCAGCCTTACCTGCGGGGATCATGTACTTCCACAGCAAATTTCTTTTCACGGAAATAGAGATTTTCCAGCTGTTTCCATTGAAATAGCTAGGGGAGTTGGGAGAGAGAAGCAGAACACTGTCACTACAAGATTCACCAATCTTCTCCTACCCAAGGTTATACAATTTCAGCAAACTACAATTTCTGTGTATCTTCAGCTATGGCATGGACTCAGCAACAACAACATTCATAACATCAATTAAAATAAGCACGTAATTATAAATATATAGGATGCCCCTCAAGTAATTTCACATTCCTACAGACAATGCATTGCAGATGGAAGATTTTGCCTGTGACAACATCTGTTTCCATCAACAGCACATTTAATTTCACCGCTAGAAGTTCACAGAGATCTTGGGAGGGCAGCTAAAGTACTTTCCTCTCTGATTAAATACAAAAATCTCCATACAAAGTAATTGCAGAGACACCTATGGTCTCCTCCCTCAGTCAGAACATCCCCAGGGAATGGCAGCAGCTTGGGGAAAAGCCAAGACCTTTCTCTTCTGAATACACTGGGTGAGACATTCAGCATGATGGTTTGGAGCAGGGGTACAACACGTACAGAGAAAGAGCAGCTATGGGAGGAAGCCACCCCAGAACAGATAATTCTGTAAGGAAACCACAGATTTCCTGCTAAGTGCCATCTGGGAAAAGAGATCAAAGTCAACCAGGGCTTGGCAGCTGCACCCATGGGATCAGAATTTCATACGAATCCGCTCTCCCTTCGCACCAGCATTAGCCATCCACCCTCTGGGGATGATTCATCAGGGATTGCATCCATCAGCGGTTGCATCTTCTCGGCCCAGCTTTGGGTGAGCTGTTCCCCAGCCCCTCGGCGCAGGTTTCTGCAGCACCCCACCCTCCAGCTCCCTCTCCAGCAGTGCCAGGGCACATGGGTGCACACAGAGACCCGTATGGTGTCCCCAAGGACATCACCTGAAGGTGATGGGGTGCAGAAGCACATGCTGTACTTTACAGTCAGCTGTTTTCCAGAGCTAGAGCCCTCAGGGAGGTACTTGAGGTACTTCCACCCAGGCTGGGCAAGCAGGGCCAGCGTCGAGGGGAAGAGATCAGCGTGTAAACCAGTGATCCAGCCAAAGCACCCAGGCCATTACAGTGACCCCCCCCTTCCCCACAGCAGCTTCTCAAAAGTCCTCAGGGCTGCAGCCACCACGCCAGAAGTCCCCAGCACAGGCGACACTCCCGCTGACCTCCGCCAAAACCCAACGTGCCGCGCTCCGACTACGGAGGAACATCAAGTTTTGTAAAAAATTACGTATTACGCCATGCTTCATTTGAAACATTCTTAACGCAGATCGTAAGTGAAACATAAGCCAGTGCATGTGCTTGTGGGGAAACCTCTGTCCCTTTCAGTGACCTTTCCCTCTGTCTAGTTAAAGCTTTCCTTTCTAGTACTACAATTTATTATTAGATCCTGCTATATGAAAAATGCAGCAAGGGGAAATGTCATTCACTTAAACTAATAAGTCATTTTCTGAAAGATTGTGGAAGTTTTACTCTGCTGCTGAAGTTCACGTTTGTATTAAAGGCACCCTGTCCAATCACACTACTTTCAGAAGTGCCCTCTTTATAACTTGGCATTGAACTTCTAAATAAATACATTTCAAAAAAAATTAAAGAGAAAACAGCTCGTGCAGTATGCCAGGACGTTGAGCAATAGCACCCACGGGTGCTCCAGCTCGCAGGCATCCCCAGCACGACCCCGGCAGCTCGGCCGCCTCCCTTCCCCGCACAGCCCACCGCGCAGGCCCCATCCCTGCGCTCACCTCCCCGCAGCGCCGGCCCCTTC